CAGTGTCCGTGCACCACTGTTTGTTTACATCCTCTGTGACCTGTGTTAATTGATTATGTCTGGAAACTTTCCAAATTTTAAAGAGTTTTCAAGTTATTGTGTAGTATTTATATATACTATTCTGATAATTGTACTTTCATGGTTTCTTCTTTTTCTTTTTAGTATGCTATATGGGAAAAGGGGCTACTAGCCCATTGCTCCTGGCACTCTAGTTAACTTTTACAACATACATGGCTTATGGAGGAAAGATTTTTATTCCATTTACCCATGGATATGGAAGGAAAAGTAGTAAGAACAAGAACTGTAAAGATAAAATCAAAGAAGACTCAGATGAGTAGTAAAAGTAGGTCTTAAACAGGGATGTGTAATGTCACCATGGTTGTTTAATATATTTATAGATGGGGTTATAAAAGAAGTAATTGCTAGGGTGTTGGAGAGAGGGGTAGGATTAAATTATAAGGAATCAAATACAAAATAGGAGTTGACACAGTTACTTTTTACTGATGATACTGTGCTTTTGGGAGATTCTAAAGAAAAGTTGCAGAGGTTAGTGGACAAGTTTGGGAGGGTGTGTAAAGGTAGAAAGTTGAAAGTGAACATAGATAAGAGTAAGGTGATGAGAGTATCAAATGATTTAGATAAAGAAAAATTGGATATCACATTGGAGAGAGGGAGTATGGAAGAAGTGAATGCTTTCAGATAGTTGGGAGTTGACTTGTCAGCGGATGGGTTTATGAAGGATGAGATTAACCATAGAATTGATGAAGGAAAAAACGTGAGTGGTGCGTTGAGGTATATGTGGGGACAGAAAATGTTATCAAAGAAGGGAATGTATGAAAGTTTAGTGGTACCAACACTTATATGGGTGTGAAGCTTGGGATGTAAATGCTGCAGCAAGGAGGCATTTGGAGGCAGTGGAGATGTCCTGTCTAAGGGCAATGTGTGGTGTAAATATTATGCAGAGAATTCAAAGTGTGTAAATTAGGAGAAGGTGTGGAGTTAATAAAAGTATTAGTCAGAGGGCTGAAGAGGGGTTGTTGAGGTGGTTTGGTCATTTAGAGAGAATGGATCAAAGTAGAATGACAAGGAAAGCGTATAAATCTGTAGGGGAAGGAAGGCGGGGTAGGAGTCGTCCTGGAAAAGGTTGGAGGGAGGGCATAAAGGAGGTTTTGTGGGCGAGGGGCTTGGACTTCCAGCAAGCGTGCATGAGCGTGTTAGGTAGGAGTGAATGGAGACGAATGGTTTTTGGGACCTGATGAGCTGTTGGAGTGTGAGCAGGGTGATATTTAGTGAAGGGATTCAGGGAAACCTGTTATTTTTATATAGCTGAACTTGAGTTCTGGAAATGGGAAGTACAATGCCTGCACTTTAAAGGAGGGGTTTGGGATATTGGCAGTTTGGTGGGATGTGTAATAGGATGGTATATATAGAATTGGGGCCCTGATGTTGTAATTATTTCAGGTCACTTTTTATATTGTATCTATATATGCTTCTTAACTGTTGTATCTGAGTGCCTCTGCAAAAACAGTGATTATGTATGAGTGAGGTGAAAGTATTGAATGGATGATGAAAGTATTTTCATTTTGGGGATTTTCTTTCTTTTTGGGTCACCCTGCCTAGGTGGGAAATTGCCAACTTGTTGAAAAAAAAAATAAAACTATGTGCTTCTAAACTGTTGTATCTGGGCACCTCGGCAAAAACCAGACATTCACAAGGGTTAGGATCCCCTAACCCTTGTGAATGTGGCGGGCCTCCTGTATAGACATTTTCATTATCTCTGATTTTTTTTTTTTTCAAAATTATATTAGAAACACACCACATACCATATAAACATAATAAATACAGTGGACCCCCGCATAACGATCACCCCCGAATGCGACCAATTATGTAAGTGTATTTATGTAAGTGCGTTTGTACGTGTATGTTTGGGGATCTGAAATGGACTAATCTACTTCACAATATTCCTTATGGGAATAAATTCGGTCAGTGGAAATATAAACACAAATGCAGTATAATGTGATCCTTTATTGACAACGTTTCACCCACACAGTGGGCTTTTTCAAGTCACACACGGATCTACCTGGGGTTGGAAGGTACGAGAGTATTTATAGTCATGTTCAGAATGTTGAGGTCAGGTGGAGAATGCTGCATCTGATGATCTACCGGGTGGGGTTATAGAGTCTTGGGTAGCTTGGCAGGGGTATTGGACAAGTTGTGAGTAGACCTTCTGCAGTGTTCTATGTTCTTATGTGGGATAGCGATGAAGAAGTTTCTTGGCGAGTGGTTCAGCTATGTTATAGAAGCCATTGTTCTGGTTGAAATTGTTGGTTGTAGAGATGAGCGATGATTCCAGGATTCTTCTGTATTGAGTGTTGTCTTCTGTGGCTATAAGTCTTGAGTTTCTGTAGTTAATTAAATGGTTGTGTGAATTGCGATGTTGTACACAGGCATTCGGTCAGTACTGGCACATGAACATACTTCTGGAGTGAAAAAATATCGTTAACCGGGGGTCCACTGTACAACCATAGTAGAACAAATTGACATAAATATGAGATGTGGTTGCCAGGCAGCTTGTAGTAGTGATGGCAAGAATTCTGTTTTCTCTAGTCCAACACCAGAGAAGTTGTGTACAGTATAGTATTACTGGAGGGTAACTGTAGAAAAATGTTCCTTTCGTATGCCTTCACTCTTAGTTTCATTCACTCTAAAAATGGTTTGTTGCATGAGCATGGGAGCATTACTGTTATTTATTCTACTGCACTAACATGAAGTCAACTTGTACACAATGTAAGATGCTTGTATTGTGGGAAAATAGCTTCACAGATGCATGCATTATGGGAAATGAACATGTATGAATTGCATTTGTCTGACCACCCACCACCTGTTCACTCTTAGTTTGTTTACAGTCTCTTTGTGTATCTTGTTTAGGATGGCATCTAAGGGTAGTTGTGATTTTTAAAAACAGGAGTCATCAGCCTCTTACATTAAATGCCAAGTTAGAAATGATTAAATTCAGTGAACAAGATGTCAGTGGAAGTAAGCATAATAATAATAATTGCTTTGGGGTGCTTCAAGATTTTTTCAAAATTATATAAGAAATCCACTACATATATAAAGAAAATATATACAGTTGTAGGAAAACAAATAAGCATTGTGAGGTGTGGTAGTTGGGCAGGCTACCACACCTGACTTTTTATAATAAATACTACTCACCTTTTACCCTACATTAAGACTACAAATATTTTAAAGTAAGTTATGAGTGTACTGTATGTGCATTTTACATTTTTTGTTGTTCTTTATGTTTAGTTCTGTTGCTAACTTAACCCTTTGACTATTTCGGTCGTATATATAAGTCTTACGAGCCACCGTTTTTGACGTATATATACTCGTAAATTCTAGCTGCTTGAAATCAAGCAGGAGAAAGCTGGTAGGCCCACATGTGAGAGAATGGGTCTGTGTGGTCAGTGTGCACCATATAAAAAAAATTCTGCAGCACACAGTGCATAATGAAAAAAAAAAACTCCGACCGTTTTTTTTTTTTTTTTAAATGCTGACTTTGTGGTCTATTTTCGTATAGTATTTATGGTTGTATTCTCGTTTTCTTGGTCTCATTTGATAGAATGGAAAACATATTATAGAAATAGAGGTGATTTTGATTGGTTTTACTATGAAAAAAACTGACAGAGTCTGACAATCCTATGCTGACAGAACCTTGAAATGGAGCTCAAAGTAGGGGAAATGTTTGATTTTTGCCGATGTTAAAAAGTAAACAAATGATGTCATTTTCCAATAGATGTCCAAGTAGCCATTCTAATATGCAGTCATGAATGGGTTGACATTATTTATACAATTATTACAATATTGCAGTAGTCTGCATAACAGTAAATCTTATATTTTTTGTTTGAATAAAAATTCAGAATAGAAAGCAAGAGTAATATCAGGGGGGCCTGGAGATGTGACTCATTAACATAGAAAATGTTATTTTAGAGCCAGGAATGTCTGCATTGTTCATTCTGGACCCTATTTTGAAATTGTCATATTTTTTAATTTTCGTGAAATTGGCCAAATTGCAATTTTCTATGTTATTGGGTAGATGAAATTGGTAAATGGGCAATTTCTTGTACTCAATCGATAGAAAAAAATGGAGTTCTAAAGAAATAGCTGAGTTTGGTCGACTGGAACAATAGAATTAGCCAAAAATAGGGCTCAAAGTGGGCGAAATCGCTGATTCATAAATACTGCCGAGGTTGCCAACTTCACGAGAGCGTAATTCCAAAAGTTTTCTGTCAAATTTCGTTCTTTTGGTGTCATTACAATTGGGAAAAGGTTCTCTATCATTTCGTAATAATTTTTTTTTTTTACGAAATGATAGAGAATCTCTCTCTCTTTTTTTTTTTTTTTTTTTAAATTTTGCGACACCAGAGACAACCTCAGGATTTGGGGTTGCGACAGTCAAGGGGTTAATATACGATAGTGTAATCTTGTTATCAGGCATTTATATGCCTGATAACACATCAGGCATTTATATGCCTGATAACGGCATATAAGTGCAGGATACGGCGGTAGCCTGGAACCTAACCTGCCGTAGAAATGGGGAGCTCCTGTATTGTATGCCTCTTTGAAACATTAGCAATGCATGATCATCCATGCTGGTGTTCTACTTTGAATCTAATACTCTCTAAATTTTAAAAATTTTCTTATCTCTTCCAGCAATTTGAATGTTGTACATGTTAGGGTTTCAAAATTACTTGGCATATACTGTATTTCTTTCATTGTGATTAAATTGCATGCTAAAATATCACGTGTGGGTTGTGACTTTATTCCATGTACAGTATATAGTCTTATATTCCTACTCATGTATTTTGTATTTGTTTTGAAAATTGTATTGATCAGTATTGAAGTATATATTTGAAATATATTCAAATTATATTACAATATAGTTCTTGATTTGATGAGTTACTTTGATTTTTTGACTTCAATGTTTTGTATACTCTTTGTAGATGGGAATAATATTCCTCCAATTATTGTGATGGAGGGAAGAAGTGCAGCAGATGCCATTGACAGTATGGACGTCAGTATGGCAGACACGCTTATTGGAACAGCACCCAGTGGCAGTGGGGCAGAAGTGGATACCCTTGATATGGCTGCCATCGCAAAGGACGCCACAGAAAACATTATTGCGTCTAGTGGTTCTGCTCGTACAGATGTTTTAGGGAATGTTATTCGCTCTCAGCGTGCTAAAAAAAGGCAGCAGCTTAACTTGGCGAAGAAGATGGCAGAACTTGGTTGCCATACATCCAGTGACCATTCCAGTAAGATGATATATTTTCAAAATCACAAAAATATGCTTAAACATTGTCTTTTTATTTCACTTTTGCATATTTTATTAACCAAGTTGGGTTGTGTGAGTTGGTATGAGGAAGGATGTGTAAGGCTGTGTAAGAATGGAAAAGAACATTACATCTATCCTGCTGGATAGTAGAAAATTGTGATTTTTTGTAGATAAGTACTGTAAGTGCTAAAAGTAGGCCTTAGACAGGGATGTGTAATGTCACCATGGTTCTTTAACATATGTATAGATGGGGTTGTAAAAGAAGTAAATGCTAGGGTGTTGGGAGAGGGGTAGGATTAAGTTATGGGGAATCAAATACAAAATGGGAGTTGACACATTTACTTTTTGCTGATGATACTGTGCTTTTGGGAAATTCTAAAAAGAAGTTGCAGAGGTAGTGGATGAATAAGGGAAGGTGTGTAAAGGAAGAAAGTTGAAAGTGAACATAGATAAGATTAAGGCGATGAGGGTATCAAATGAGTTACGTAAAGAAAAATTGGATATCACATTGGAGGAAGGGAAGGATTATGGAAGAAGTGAATATGTTCAGATATTTGGGAGTAGACTTGTCAGAGGATGGGTTTATGAAGGATGAGGTAAACCATAGAAATGATGAAGGAAAAAGGGTAGGTGGTGCATTGAGGTATCTATGGAGAAGGGAATGTATGAGAGTATAGTGGCACCAACACTCTTATATAGGTGTGAAGCATGGGTTGTAAATGCTTGCAGGAAGGAGAACATTGGAGGCAGTGGAGATGTTATGTCATGTATGGTGTAAATATTATGCAGAGAATTTGCAGATGTGGAAATTAGGAGGAGGTGTGGAGTTACTAAAAGTATTATTCAGAGGGCTGAAGAGGGGTTGTTAAGATGGTTTGGTCATTAAGAGAGGGTGGAACAAAAGAGGATAACTTGGAGGGTGTATAAATCTGTAGTGGAGGGGAGGAAGGGTAGGTGTCATTCTTGAAAAAGATGGCGGAGGGAGTGAAAGAGGTTTTGTGGGCAAGGAACTTTGACATACAGCATGCATGTTAGGAGTGAATGGAGACAAATGGTTTTTGGGACTTGACGAGCTGTTGGAGTGTGAGCAGGGTAATATTTTGTGAAGGGATTCAGGGAAACTGGTTAGCTGGACTTGAGGGGAGATTCATGGTTCCCGCGCGCGGAGCAAAAAAAAATTCGAAAATATATGAAAACTGAGTTATTGTTACCAAAAAATAGCTGAACTTTCTGGCTACACGCTGGTATAATTATTATCCTTGTACGATGTTTCTAAAAGGAATTACAGCCATTTATAACAGGCATGGTGACAGCGCTGACGCAACATATTGCGTAAGAAGCGCTGACTCAGCTTTGTTGACGTTTTTGTTACGTTTTTCCCCGTGTTATTTTTATCGTTTTCGTATATCTTTGTGTAAAATATAATACAAATTCACCATCTGAGATCATTCCCGAGTGGGCGGAGCTAATATGGTCACGGCACCAATCGGGAACCCCTGGGAATAGTGCACAAAATGGCGGACACCTCCAGCCAACAAAATATTCCATACCCACGCTAATATCAATTATAAGGCTTATTTATCTATCACAATTGATCTATTATGATATAATGCAATATAATAATAGCATATAAACATAAAAAGTACACCTTAAAAAAAATATATACATGTATAGCATAATATGACGCCCCGAGGAAAAAATTTCTATCGATATTTCCCCTGAAGGTGAAGAGAGGGTCCGACCTCTCTCATCAGTGATGAGAGAAAACGGATTTACAATGGTTAACTGTAATAAACAGTCGTAGGTCACGCAAAAAGTGTAAAATAAAGCGAATTTTTCGGGGAAAAAAATTATTTCCCGGGCAGCGGGGGTGCCGCGCGCTTCGGCCTATATCTCGAAAGTAAGTTATTTACCTATTTAGGGGAAGATCACCTTTATTTATGATTGAATTGACTTGATTTTTCACAACAAACATAGGAGAATGATTGCTTTACGAGGTAGCGATCGTGTTTCTGAACTATCCAAAATATTTTTAGATTTATGTGGACAACAAGGCCGACATCTTCCAATATATCAAAAAAGTTATGAAACTTTATTTTTTTTTAGCATGAAGATAAGGTTTATTTTAGAATTGAAATCGACAATTGATGGAATTAGAGGTGTTCTATCAGCAGCAAGTGTCAAAACCACTTGTCCAAGTACCACTGAGAAAATGTGCCCTGCCAAATGTAATTTTTCGTAAATTTTGCATATTTCATTTCCTTTTTGGCCGATATGATTGAAACTTCAGCACAGGATACTCGATATAACCTTCTAATAGTACACCAAAAATGAACGTAATCGGTTCATAAAAAAAATGTCGTTAAAATGCGGACTGCATCCGCCCTTGAGTCCTGGAGGTGGAAAGTACAATGCCTGCACTTTAAAGGAGGGGTTTGGAGTGACATCTAAACTGTCATATCTGGGTGCCTCTGCAAAGACAGTGATTATGTGTGAATGATGGTGAAAGTTTTTCTTTTTTGGGTCACCCTGCCTTGGTAGGAGACGGCCGACATGTTAGAAAAAAAAAAGTGCTATATGGTAGATTCTATGCCAAGAATAGGAGGCTATTATTTTTTTATTGTAGCTGTACTTACTTTCTCTTTTTTTTTTAACTTAATGGCTGTCTCCTGTCAAAGCAGTGACCCAAAGAAGAAAACATGTTCACTATCTTTCATTCAGTCACCATTGTTCCAGAAGTGTGCTGACATCACAGTCAGATTACCCTCATACAGCACTATCCCACCCCCTTCAGAGTGCAGGCATTGCCCTTCCCACCTCCAGGACTAAGTCCAGCTAATCAGTTTCCCTGAATCCCTTCATAGATGTTAACCTTTCACACACTCCGATAGAATGTCCATTAAAAACCACTTGTCTCCATTCACTCCTGTCAAACATGTTCACAAAAGCTTGCTGGATGCTCAAGCCCCTATGACTCAGTGCCTCTTTTATCCCCTCCCTTCAACCATTCCTGGGACAACCCTAGCCCTCCTACCTTCCACCCAAGATATGTATACCCTCTTTGTCAATCTATCTCCTCTATCCTTTACATGCCCAAACCACCTCAACATCCCTTCCCAAGCCTTCTCAATTGTACCTTTATATGATTCAATTCTTTTACACGGTATTCACCCCACACATTACTCTCAAACACGAAATTTCCACTGACTAGCCACCGCCTCACATCCATATAAAAGTGTTGGTACCACCATACAGGCAGGCATACCTTGCTAATAAGGCAGGTTAGGTTGCAGACCACTGCCATACAGTGAATCACAACCTTTTCACCTGCCAGTGCATATAAAAGCCTGAAAACATGTTTGCATTATCATTTATTAAATGCACAATAGCACTAGGCACTTAATTTCTTTCAAGAACTTCTCCTTCGAGTTCTCTACTGTGCTAACTGTTTGTTGCACATAACCTTGCTTACGGCCTATTTTAGTGTTCAGCATGCCTTTCTCACTAAGCTTGATCATTTTAAGCTTTTGATTTAAAAAGACTTGTGACTTTTCTTTTCACTAGCATTAAATTAGAGGCCACTATACTGTAATAATTACAATAATAACAATAGCACAAATAAAAATTTTGAAAATTGTCAGAATACGATACCGAGATATGAAGTGCACAAATGCTGTAAACATACTGAACGCAGATATCATAATGGTGCCAGTCAGCTAATGTGCACACCACTGCATAAAATAATGAACATCAATGTAACTGAAAAATGCTGTACAGTGGACCCCCGCATAGCGATCACCTCCGAATGCGACCAATTATGTAAGTGTATTTATGTAAGTGCGTTTGTACGTGTATGTTTGGGGGTCTGAAATGGACTAATCTACTTCACAATATTCCTTATGGGAACAAATTCGGTCAGTACTGGCACCTGAACATACTTCTGGAGTGAAAAAATATCGTTAACCGGGGGTCCACTGTATTAGCAAAGCACTTTAATGCGAGGTGCCATTTTAGGTATACCTGTATTCTGATACAATCCTTTTTCTGCCTCCTTAGATAAACTTTTCTTTCTATACATGCCTTAACTCAGCTCACCTTTTTTTTTTCCCCTCACATTTAAATGTTTGACCATGTTACTCGTTTTTAGTTGAAGGAATTTTAAATTAATTTATTATTAAAACATTTTAAAGTAATTTTCTCGAGTGTTTGTGTGTTTTAAAGGGATGTGCCTTTATGCTTGTAAAGGGCTCTTGATCCAAAGAACTGGAGCTTCCCTTCTTTTCCTCTCGTCGAACCTGATGCTTCCTATGAACGTATTTAAATTGTCAAAACTTAGGTATTATTATTGTTGAGTAGCTTGAATGTTTTAATTCATATACAGTAGGACCCTGCTTTTTAGTGCTTTGCTTTACAGCAATTCTCTAATATGGACATTTCAAATTATAACAAAAAAATTTGTTTACACGGCTCCTTGATTCGCTATTATGGCATCTGTGTGCCACTCTTGTTTGTTTACATCCTCCATGAGCCCCATGTCTCTTGATTATGTCTGGAAACTTTAAAAAATTTCAAGTGTTTTAAAGTTATTGCATATATATATTTTTTTTAACACATCGGCCGTTTCCCACCAAGGCAGGATGACCCAAGAAGAAAGAAAAAACTTTCATAATCATTCAACACTTTCACCATCAGTCATACATATTCACTGTCTTTCCAGAGGTGCTCAGATATGGCAGTTTAGATGTCCCTCCAAACTGCCAATATCTCAAACCCCTTCTTTATCCCTTTGAGGGGCCTAGACCCCAATCTTAAAATTCCTCACAGGGTCCAAGAAGTTATTATTTTTTATGAAATGCTAGATAATCTTTTTCTGAAGGTAATAAAACAAAAAGTATGAAATTTGATCAAAAATTGGTGAAACTACGCTCACGAATTTAGCTGTGTTAGTGATATTTGTGCATCAGCAATTTTGCCCGCTTT